CTACTGAAGATAAAATTTAAGAACACACTCAGACCATCTACACACTATTTTAGGTCTCTTTTAATATGGACAGGAGTTGCACACATGTGGACCCAGGGAGCTGTTAGAAATGAAGACATCCAAACTCCAGCCTAGACCTATTGAATCAGAACCTCCATTTTTGACTGACTTGCCTATCCTATAATTTTTACATTTTAAAGGTTAAGAAGCCCAGCCTATCTACAGAACTTCAGGGTTCGTCATAGCGTTGACAATATGGCTATAGTAATGAAGCAATGTTGGATAACTAGGTGTGATATCCCTATGAGTCCTTCCCTATGTCTCTTCCCTGGGGCCATGAACAGAATAGTTGAAGTAGATGATCTCCAGAACCCCATGATTATATAACCATCTCTCATAATACTGTGCTTACTTCACAGCAATACTTACAAAGCTTAACAAAAACCATGGGCAGCTCAACTGGGCTCTGAACTCAAAAGCCTGTAGCACAGGAGATAAAGTGGCACATAAAAGGACATAAAGAAATATAAAACTGGGCTTCAGCAAGAGTCGCATTGCATCAGCATGGACTTGCAGTCTCAGGCAGTCAGTGGGACTGAAGTGAACTTTTAAAGATGAGTGTAGTTTCCATGAGTGACAGGGCAGAGTGTATTACCCTTGGACTTGAGGATTAGCAGAGTCAAATGCACAGAGAAATGGGAAAAGTTGCCAATAATGAGGGTAAGACAAAATTAAAGGGAAACTTATTTGCCTGGATAAAGAGTATACAAAAGATGTAATGATTTAAATTAATAAATAGTATGATCAAAGGAATAAGTAAGCCCATTGACTTCTTGATGTTTCATAGGGATGTGAGGGGCAGAAAAACCACAGGGAGACTGTACCAGAACCCAAACTGTCATCCTTTAAAGGAATAGACTGCTAACACAGCAGCAGAAGGAACAAGACCTGGATGAAAGCACCATTTTGAGAATGCCCCCTTAGGACTTGGAGACTATTTGGTTAATATAAAGGAGGAGTAAGAGGAAGTTTTTTCTCTAAGGTCAAGAAGGTTGTAGGGTCAAAGATAGGATATCGAGCCTCTTATGACCCACTAGTAGTGTGAGTTTGGAAACAGTATGGAGCCTTTCTGTCTCATTTGAGATATTGAAGAATATTCGATGGAACGTGTAAAATGCTCAGCACATGCGTACCTGTAATGCATAATTCAGGCCACACAGAGTGACCTCTCCACCAACAGTGAACCATATATACGATGCTGGTCTCATATGTGTACAATGGAACTCAAAGAGTCCTACCCCTCAGTGGTTTGAGTGAAATGTAAAAGTCAAAAAGCAGCACGTTTTGTTCATGTGTATGGTGGTCTTACACTACCAGGCCTATTTTTTTTAAAGTGAAGAATATGCAGTCATATACCACAGACAATACTTGACTTCTGGCTAATGTATTTTCTGTGCTTTCCCTTAGTCATCATTTTGGGGTTCTATTTAAGAGTTCACTATAAAATAGTGAGTCAATTGATATACATGTGGCCCTTGGTACTAATTTCAAAAAAACTGAATTATAGGGATGGGGGGTTGTTACCTTACAAATATGAAAATCCAAGTTCAAATACTATCACCCACATAACAAGCCTGGAATAGCATACACCAGTAATCCCAGAGTTGGGAGTGTAGAGACAAGGGGATGCCTTGGCCTACACTGACCAATCAAACAAGTAGGCTCCAAGTTGATAGAAATCTTGTCTCAAAATTTAAGATGCACAAAAGGGCTGGCAAATGGTTCAGTAGGTAAAGGTGCTTGCCAGCAAGTATGATGACCTGAATTGAATCCCTGGGATCCACCTGGTAGGAGGAGAGAACCTACTCCCCAAGTTGTCCTCTAATTTCTACACTTCTACTGTGACACATGTGTGCATGTTTACACAAACACACACACAAAATAATTTAATAAGTGTATAAAATAAATAAACAGATAGTGTTGAGGAAGACACTCAAAATTAACTTTTGGTCCATACTTGCATGCACTTGTACATACACAAATGAATATGTACACACATACACCACACACACACACACACACACACACAAAATAGACTTGAATGTAATTGGCCCAAAGGTCGTGAATAATTTGGGATTTTTTTGAGACAGGATTTCATAAAGTCTAGGTTAGCCTCAAATTCACTATGTATCCAAGGCTAGTCTTTGAACTCCTGAAGTTCCTGTCTCCACCTTACAAGTGATGATTATAGTAATGTACCACAAAATTAATCATTTTCTCCACCATACAATACTTTTTTAAATTTTTAAATTAATTTTGTATTACTTTTCTGTGGGTATATATATATATATATATATATATGCACATGTACACATGTGTGTGAGCCATAGTATCTATACACAGACCAAAGAAAACTTGTGGGAGTTGGTACTTTCCTTCTACCATGTGATCCCAGGGATTGAACTCAGGTCCTCAGGCTTGGTGTCAAGAAAGTCACTTACTCCCTGACCAATCTCAAGGACCCAGCGTTTATTTTTGTTTTTGTTATTTTGATTATTTTGAGCCAGCACCTCATGTAGTTCACAATGTCCCCAAACTTCTGCACCACCTGCCTGCACCCCTCAAATCTTGGGATTACAGCATGCATCATCACATTCTGTTTATGTGGTTATACGTATCAAACCAAGACCTTCAGGCACACATTCTACAACTGAGATATATCGCCCATGTAATTTGCACTTAATTTTATAATTTTGATTGCTAATATATTGCCTGATGCATTATTTCTATCCCTTTACACTATAAATTAGGCAAGATTACTGTTTTGTAGTGTACAACCAACATACTTTTATATTTATATTTACCTTGTGTTTGAGATTATAACTTTGGATCATATAAGCTTCAATTCTACTCCAGTAAAAATTGTCACAGGGAAATTCAATGTTGTCATTCAAAAGTGGCTATGTATTCTCCCAAGAAATTACATCACTTTTTTCCCTGAAAATGTGGAGCTCCAGACTGACAGGCCATTTCTCTTGGCTTTAGCTTCCATTGCTGCAGTTGAGGAGTGGGCTTCTAGTCTAGAATCTTCATAGGTGGTGCTTTCTCTCAGCTATTTTAGGCAGTGCTTTCTGTAGTATCTCATGGCTGAGGTGTCCCGTCATTTAACCTTCCTGGATCCATTGAGCTCCTGGACCTCCGAGTTGGTATCCTTCAGTATTTGTGAGAAATAGTCTGCCAGTGCCTCCTCAAGCAGTGCTCTTTCATGTTTATCTAGAATTTCTAACTCACTTGCCTGAACATCTTTAGTTGTTTTTGTTTTTCTGTGTATTTTTCTAAACCTTCACCTAATTTTTAAGAACCATTGTCAATATGTTTTTTGCATGCTAATTTCACTTACAGTATTACACTTTAATTTTGGCAGGTTGTTCTAGGCTTTCAAATGCCCGTGGTTGTTACAGCTGCTTCTTCCTTGTTTTGATATCCATATATAAAATGGTAAATGTGTCTGTTTTGTATTCCATGACCATCTCACTGTCTCAAAGGGTCTAGCTCAGCTATCTGTTGGCATGCAACTATTTACAACCTGGATTTATTACAGGGTCTGTGTTTGCTTCTGCTGCTTACCTGGAGCTACCACTCCGCCAAAACAATTGACATTAACATACCACTTTCTAGGTCTCAAACCACACTAAGATACAGATGGCATATCTGTGTAGGGACCTGCTCATGCTTAGTAATAATCAAATGGGAATTCTTTTTCAGTCCACCCAGAACCTCCCTCAGTTTTCTATGGTGGAGGTAAGCAAGTTTCCCTACAGCCTTCTTTTATATAGTTCCTTAGTTTTTCCTAGTAATGTTTCAGAGTTGAGCACTTTGATGTGTACCAGCTTTTTGTGGGGCTCCGCAAGGACTCCTCCAGACTTCAGAAACTCTTCAGTCAGATGTTGAAGGGCTGAAGGGCTTGGGAGAGCCTCTCAGGTCCAGCTCTGCCCTGTGTCCCAAAGCAGACTTTTGTTAGGAACTGAATGTCTTTGCATTTCCTGTCAAGTCATTAGAATATTTCAAAGATTTTGTTTCATTGCCTTTTATATCAACTATGTAGTTGAACTAAAACCTGTTTGTCTGTACATGATGTTATATCTTATCATTGTACTTATAGCATTGGTTATATATACTTAGAATTTGCTGTGGTGTCTAGTAAAACCTTGATTTCTGCTATAAATTTTCAACTATAGGAACACCTGCATGTCTTCTGTCACTGGTCTTTAAAATATAAACCATTTGAGATAGGTGTGGTACCACATATCTCTTATCTCAACACTTAGAAGATGAAACCAGGAGTATCACTGAGTTTGAAGTCAGCCTGATCTGAATAGCCCGTTTTAGGCCAGTCAGAGCTACATAGTGTCTCATAAAAAAATAAGTAGACAAATAAAGAGAGATGATTGATTGATAAATAGATGATAGATACATAGATACATAGATTTTGCATAGGTTGCTAGATATTAGGCTATTTGAGATATATTTAAATTAAATATAACCTGCTATTGCCTGATTTAAAATTTTTTATTGTATTGTGTAGAACTTTAGAGTCTTATAAAATCTTAAAATCACAACAGGATCACAAAAGCACAAAGACTTTGTTATATCTGCATCTAGTTTATTTAAAGGGATTGATCATGTTAGGAATGTTTGAGGTATTGTACAAATACAAACTATGGTAAAATATCAATATAATTTGTTTTAGGTAAAGAGCTCACCAGGAAAATTGTATTTAAACTGCATTTTGTAAAAATCAAGTAATTTTTCAAATTGGAAATAACTAATTTTCAAGAAAACCTTTAAATGTGAGAATCCCTTTGTCTCCTGAGGCCTCTTTTGGTAAAGGAAGTGATCCCTTCTCCTTAAAATACTTGATTACAAGTCGGGCACATATAACTGTCACAACACAACAGCCCTGCCCCCATCTCCCTAATTGCCATCTTTATTCTATCTAGTATGTCCGAGTATCTTTTGATACGAAACCTGATCTCTTGCTTCACCTGATGACCAAGGAATGGCAACTGGAGCTCCCAAAACTTCTCATCTCTGTGCATGGAGGGCTGCAGAACTTTGAACTCCAGCCCAAACTCAAGCAAGTCTTTGGGAAAGGGCTCATCAAAGCAGCCATGACAACCGGAGCTTGGATCTTCACAGGAGGGGTCAACACAGGTAATCAGAGTGGGATGAAGAAAGGTAGCTTCTATACTGTTGTGTCTAGAATAATTTTTGCCTCACTGAAAATGTCCATATTTCTCTACCTTGTCTCTGCCATACATGTCCATCCTCCTGCTCATCCCTTCTCTTTTCCTCCTTTCTTTGGCTAAGTGATAGCTATACAGATGATTTTCAACTTAGAAGAGCTGCATATGAGAAATGTCTTTATTACTCAGTGACTTAAAGAATTCGTATACAAGAATAATGGAAATTCACGGGATATTTTTAGTAGATAAAATTATCATAGGTATCTACTAACTCTTTAACGAATAACTTTTTATTTCAAATTGGAATGTCTGCCTTTATTAATTCAAGTAATTTCAAGCTTGGTACCAACTAACTTTTCTAAGTGTGAGTGTATATGTGTGTGTGTGTGTGTGTGAGAGAGAGAGAGAGAGAGAGAGAGAGAGAGAGAGAGAGAGATGTAAGGTGATTACTTTTCTGCCAGCTGCCTGGGTCCTGTCACTGTCTCTGCCCCCAAATAACACATGAGACACCAAATTAATCATTTATCAACCAATAGGACAACATATACACAGAAGAACTTCCCCCATCAGAGAGAGAGAGAGAGAGAGAGAGAGAGAGAGAGAGAGAGAGAGAGATTATATATTCCATAGCTACTACATGGCATGACTAATACATGTAGTCAGATAACTTCAGGTATCAATCCTTGCCTTTTACCTTGTTAACACAGGGTTTCTCTAGTTTTTGTTCACTCTTGTTCAGGCAGGGTCTCTCTGTTGTCCACTCCTGTAGACACCAGGCTAGCTGGCCTGTGAACCTTCAGTGACTCTCTATTCTCAGCCATTCATCTCTCTAAAGGCATGCTACAGATTCTCATATTACTACCATACCTACCTGGCCTCTGATGATTCAAACTCAGGTTCTTATACTTGTATGACAGGTACTTTATCCACTGGGCATCTTCCCAGCCCTAATTTTTAATGCCATTTCATCTGTGGCATGAATTATAAGGTTAAATCTAGATTGCTATATGCTTATTTAAAATATTTTACTTTCAATTATATGTATGTGTGTGTGAGTGCACACTAATATAATGCCCTTAGAAGCCAGAAGCATTGGATCCTTCTTGATCTGAATTTACAGGCAGTTGTGAACTACCCAGTATAGGTACTTAGAAACCAAACTCAAATCCTCTGCAAGAGCAATACATGCTCCTAACCATTGCACATCTCTTCAGACCCATGTGTGTTTATAATGTTACATGTTTCTTAAAACATTTTACATATGCCAGGTAGTAGTGGCGCATGCCTTTAATCCCAGCACTTGGGAGGCAGAGACAGGCGGATCGCTGTGAGTTCGAGGCCCGGCTGGACCGACAGCCTCCAAAACAATACAGAGAAACCCTGTCTCATAAAAACAAATACTTTTTCCTGCCTGCCATATAAATTTTCATATTATGATATATGCATGTTATCAAATCAATTCTAATAACCACTTACGGTTAGGTTCTTAACTTCAGAACATGATTAGTGTGCAGCAGATAATGGAGTAAACTTTATTACCAGATACCTAAAATTCCTACTAAAAGCATACCAAGGCCAGGCATGGTGGTATATGCCCTTAATGCCAGAACTCAGCAGGCAAATGAATCTCTGAGGCCAGCTTAGCCTATAATAATGTTTCAGAATAGCCAGGGCTTAAGAGGGAGCTAGGGAGAGACCCCCCCAAAATAACAGTAAAGTATCCTAGTAACTTTGTAATAAGCTAATACAAATGTGTCATAAGATTCAAAGCCTATACACGTGGGCACATTTGATGTTAGTGGGACCACCAGAGCTCATAACTCTAGAACCAATTAACACATTCTTATAAAACAATAATTAAGTTTTAGCTTGGAGATGTTTAGGTAACATCAAAACTGTGAAATCTCCTGCATAACTAGAACTCATAAGCAGTCAGCACATAGCTAGACAGGCATGTTTTTTTCAGTGAACTGTGCAGATGGTCCACGGCTTGTGTCGTGTTATAAAATTGCAACCCAGCCCATCAGCTGGCAACATCTTTGGCTGACCTGATCAGTCAGCTCTTATTGTCGATCCTGTAAAAAGAGCACTTTTAGTGACTCCAGATTTTAGGCCCCACATATTCCTCTTCACTAAGCAGAAAGCATTTGCTTGTAATTGTTTAGGCTTTTGCTTTCCTGTAGAGAGACATCACCCAATGCAAGGCTTTAAAAGGCTTGAAAGAAATTTTAACCAGTTTTCTACATTTAGAAAGTTTGATTGCTAGTTGTTTTTCTTCTTTTATGAAATACATTCAAAAGCAGGGTGGGGGATTGCATAAACAGTTCTTCTCTGGTTTAGAGTATGGGACTTTGATGGTGGCTATTGAAGCTGGTAGCAGGTAGAGAAAACTGGCAGACAGAGACGCATACCATAATGTTGGATTTCTTGTCCAACCCAACCCTGATGTGTTTTGCATATTAACATTAATATTTATTTATTTTCTTGTCTGAAAGTTTTATTCAGCAATATTTTCACTTAGATGATTCACTGACAAGCTAGCAGGAGAGAAGGGCATCTCCCCAGGCTCGCAACATAGCACCCTGTGGATTAGTGATCACGTATAATTTTATTTGATTCCTAAAAAGAAACTCTTTGTCAGATCGTGTGTATGCTTCACAGATGAGTTATTGAAACATGTATGATGTCTCCATGGTGAAACTTCTTGGTGTGTTCTGCCTGTTCAATGCATGGTTTCTGAGCCCTTATTTGGAGTCAGATCGCCTTCAAGGCCCACAAGCCAAGTAACACACTGACCGTCCCATCCTCCTGTCAGAGAGCAAGCACATCTTACATGCTGTTATGCGCCACTGGACGATGCAGCAGTGAAACGTGAAGCTGCTGGGGACTCACAAGCTATTATATGTATAAGGAATTATATCTAACTTAATAGAAGGCATGGCACTGAGGATGAATGCTTCTTGGGGAATGGGGAAAATGCTGATAAGTGTAAATTCTTAATGTCTCTTAAAAGTATAGAAATGATTGCTCAAGAAGGAAGCTAAAAGATTAGAAATTGTATATTCTTTAAATGCTTTCTTAAAGTAAGATCAAGTTCCCTACTGCTGCAATCTGAATTTCTTTGCTTTTAACTGTGAGGCAATCATTAACAGAAGGAGGAAACAAATAGAATGATGAATATTAAAGGTGTACTTACGCATTTTAGCATAAATTTGCCATTGAATAAGACATCATTATTACTAGGCTTTCCACATTATGTGATACAAATAGGAAGCAGAAATTGAGGTTAATAAAATATTAGGTAAATAACTACAGAAATGACCCTAATTCTTTCACAGACTATGGAATAAATTAACTTTTGTGCTTTTTAGTCCAAGGATGCAAGGATACTAATAAATCACTATGCTTACAGGAAAAGGACCCTCTAATTATACTCTAATTATATTTATTCTTTATAGACACTAGATATTATGTTTTAACATATGAATTAAAGAAATTCATTGTTTGCATTTTTATTGAATCTGACAAAATATCTGCATTATAGCCACTCTTATGAAGTCTCTTTAAATGTAGTTTTTTATAGAAATGTGTCAAAATTGTGTGTTCAACATTCTCCCCCAAGTTTAAAGCACTCATTAATTTCCTGAAGAGTGACAGGAAAGTCACTGCCCTTAAAATACAAGGTTAATATCTCTCTCTCTCTCTGTTCCTAGGCGTCATTCGTCATGTTGGAGATGCCTTGAAGGACCATGCATCTAAATCTCGAGGGAAGATATGTACCATAGGTATCGCCCCCTGGGGAATTGTGGAAAACCAGGAGGACCTGATTGGAAGAGATGTAAGTTCTGAGGAGTGCTCTATTATTTGACTTCTCCTAGCATAATACAAGTCAAACTTGTATTATGAAAAACTTACTAAATGATTACTTGGTTTCCAAACTATCTAGATAAATTCCTTGACAATTCCCCCAACCAAGAAAAGTCAAATATAAGACCTACCAACTTTCTCTGCCTCTGTCCAAACTGCATGTTCTTGGCATGGCAATACCAACATGCATTTATGTCATATTAATATCAGGCAACATGAACTGATTGATCCATCAGAGCGGTAGTCCATCAGAGCAATGCTCCATCAGAACAGGACTCTCCCACTGCAAGGTGCTGGCTTTTGTAGCATTAGCATGCTCATTTGCCAAACTGAGAAAAGCCATAGAGGGTGCCTTCTATTTGAAGTCATGACTTCCCTTGTTGGCCTCTCCTTTTGCTAAATGCTTGGCTATGATATATTTCAACCTTGCCTTAAAATGCCCTGGCCAAAATACAAGATTACCAGTTTCTGTTTCTTTTTCTTATGTCCAGGGCCACACACTAACCAGAAGTAGAAGTCTAGACCATTTCCCCCCATTTTTCTAGGTCATGATTTTATTTGTTTTTTTACCCCCTGAGGAACACTTATAAAACATAAACAGTTTTGCCATGTCCCCAACAACATTGCCCTCTATATAACTTCTCAAAATACATATAATTGACAAACTAATGAACAGGTGACTATAGTTTATCTATAAGATTTTTATCATTATTCAGTACCTTAGATCAATTCACTCTTCTTTAATTAAAGCCTGACAGAGTGTAAAACATTTATGCTAAATAGTTTTTTATCAAGAGATCTGTAGGAGCCAAAATAAAATACTAAAACCTAAGAACCAACTGGTTCAAAACTAATTCTTTTATTATGAGACTTTACAGTACAATCTTACCATTCTCACACCATATGGACATCTTCTAATGCCATGAAACAGAAGTACAGAATCTTGAAGGGATACCAAAAGTGCATGCATGACCAACACTACCAAATAATATGTAGAAATAGAAATGTAGCAGAGAGATGGGATGGAGGAGAGAGATACGAGGAAAGGGGTTTCTTAACTAGAATTCCCTGGATGCTTCACATTACATGTCTTTGCATGTTGCAGCTGGTTCATTTTCCTCTTCTTATCACTTCTTTATCATATGTAAATAGGAATGTGTACATGCCAGTAGGGCTGAGAGATGCTATCCCAGAGGGTAGGGAAAGGCACTCATATAACAAATAAATTGTATGCATTCATCGTTCGTGATCCTAGAGATCTAATAAAACAATTGGCAGCTCACAGAGAACTAGAAGAGCTGCAAGAAAAGTAAAATGAAAAGAAGTGTGAAATCCAAAGTATGTGAGTAGAACTCTCCAGCACATACCAAAGGTGCTATAGCTCTCTTTGGAGTCACAACTGCTCTAAGGGTTATAAAGTCCATGCTGGGGGTCTGCAACGTCCCAGATTGACTGTGTCCTAAATGCACTAGATAAATGTCCATTAAAGCATTAGTATTGCAACACAGAAAGAACCTGACCAGTACTTGCTGTCTGGACTCTGGACAGTGCAATGAAGTTCTGCCAAACTAATACTGAGGAATAAAACAATCAAGAAAGAACTCAGTAATAATTCTTATAGGACAATAATTATTAGACACTACTGAAATATATTTAAGAAGACATGAAAATATAAAATCTTCTCATGTTTGTAGATTGGAAGAATTAGTATTCTTTGAATATATCTTCCACTCAATGTAAGTCCTATCCAAATGTCAAGGGTATTCTTCACAGAACTACAAATAACGATCTTAATGTATATATGGAACCATAGGACCCCAGACAGTCAAAAGAATCCTGAGTGGATAAAAACTGGAAACATCACAGAATCTTATTTCAAGATCTACCGTGGAGCAGCAGTGTCCTAGACACCATGGCACTGTCAAAAGAAACAAGTGGCACAATAAATCTCAACAGAGATACCATGGGTTCACATGTAACCATTGCTTATCAGAGGCCCCAAAAATTATCACTACAGCTCACTGTAGAAATGGAGCTAAGAGTACTTATCCCCAAACAAAAGATTCAAACTGGATCCTTATCTCTCATTTTCTGCTCAAGATGAAACCAGATAGAAAGGGAGGCAGGGAGAAACTTGGAGTCATAGAGAAAGGGGAAGAAACTATACAAGATAATATGCAAGAAAGGAATCTAGTTGCTATAAAAGGGGAAAAAATCATTGAAACGAGGTGTTGGAATCAAAGGCTTAATGGGATCGGAAGCCACAAGAATTTGAAAAACAGTAAGCCTTTCAAGGCCCCCATAGGGGCTGTGGGTTTCTGCAGAGGGTCTGTATTGGCAGGAAACAAAAGCAAAAGATGACTAGTCGGGATGAAATCAAACTCAAAAATTTCTCCACAGCACGAGAAGCAACAGAATGAATAGGCAACCTACAGAATGAAAAGAAATATTTGCCATTACTTCTCTGATAAAGCAATAATAGCTAGAATACTTGGAAACTGAAAAAGACCTAAGCAAATCATCTAACTTGAAAATGGGCAATAACATACTGAAACACTGAATAGCATTATTAGCTACTAGGGAGATGTAAATCCTAACCACAGTAAAAACAGGTATTATAAAACAAATTTAAAAATCTAGCAAAGATATGCAGAAATTAAACTCATATACTGTTGATGGTAATACAGATCATCCCAACCATTATGAAGAACAATATAGAGGTTCCTCAAAAACTAAAAATATGTATACCAGAGGATTCAGCTACCTCACTTCTAGGTATATATCCAAAGGAAGGAAAATCAGCACACCTAAGCCTACAGTACAGTTCACAACAGATAAGGAATTACTCTGGTTGCCCAGCAACAAATGACTGAACATATACATATATATATGACAATATGTATTATCATATATTATCCTATATAGCAGATAATATATACTATATGTGTCATATACATAGATATATAGATCTCATGTATGTATGATTAACTATTACCTGTCCATAAAGAAGAATGAGATCCTGTCATTTGCAGTAAAATGGAATTGGTGATATCAAGTAAAGTAAGCAAGACACAGGAAATCAAGCACACTATGGTCTATCTTACATGTAGACGCTTTTTAAATGTTGATATAAGAATGATCACCAGAGGTTAGGAAGAATGGGTGATTGAAAGGAAGGAAGGCTATGCTATATGCACATAGAGAAATCCGTGGTGAACACCACTAATATACATAATCAACTCACATGAGCAATTGCATTTTTAAAAGATATATAGTCAAAATTTCTTTTTTCACTGGAAATTAAAATGGCAGGTTATGCAGTGCAGTGAAAAAAATAATGGTCATCTGATTTTTCAATAAATCTATGACCAAGGTTTATTGACTTTTGACCACTCTGCTGCTTTATTCTCCCAAAGCTGATGAACTAGAGAATGCATAGAATTTACTATACTCTTTTGTTTTAATAGTGTTTGTTTTTCAAGTTTCACATTAGAATAAAAGTACTGTTCTTATGAAAATACAAGGCCAGAGATGTTTGTCCATGCCTGTAAACACCAGCCATGGGGCTGGAGAGTCTCAAATTTGAGAATAGCCTGGGTAACATATATCAGGGGCAGGATTTTCAGAGCTCAGTCTAGAGCCTCAATCTTAGTAAATATTCCATAATTAAGATAAATTAAGCATGATGGAATCTAGACTTCATCAGGAAGTAATGTAAAATGTAATGATGTATCTTTCACCACTCTACAACAATTTCATCTCTCCACGGGTCTCTCTTTATTGGGAACTAAATCCAAGTAGTCTCTAAATTTGAGGGCTCAACACTCATGCCATAATTACCTCCTAGAGATCTTGCCTCCTAACACCATCACCTTGTGAGTTAGTATTTCAATGTCAGAATTAGGGTGGAAAGGGACATAAACTTTTAGCTCATTTTACCTATTAAGAGTGTCTGGAAAATTCAATTTGGGGTAGTTTCTTATTAAACCTTAATATAATACTTTGCATGATAATTCAAGACATTGATAGGACATTTGAACACTTCATGTCTTCATCCCTAAGTAAGTTATAGAAATGGGTTTTCTATTGTTACATAGTATCATCAGGATTTTATCTAGAGAAGCTAATTATAATTTATTGAGTATGTCCTGCAATAGAATACCTTTGCATGAGTTAAGTAAATGAACCATGAACTAAAACTCAAAATCCAATTTTTTCAGAGATGACTCTTGTAATTTATCATCTCAATGGTAGAATGTTTTTAGCTATTATTTGGGACACCAGTAGATATCTTAACTCCTACAAATTAAACTTGAAAATACACTCAGTAGATAACTAAAACTCTTCACTTTTTTGAAAAAATATCTTGGCTTAGGCAGATAATTATAAAAGTACCTCCAGTGTGAAGTCAGGAAAGAATTTCTAGCAAATTCCAATTCTTACTTAGCATACTTTGTATTCCTTACTTTAGAAAACAACTTAGCCAGAATTATATGAGGTGATTGAAAATTTTCTGAAATCTGTATCTCTACCAAACTAGATTAACCAGACATGTACCAAATTAAAATCTATAATCAGATGCAGAGCTATTTTTTATTTTAACTTAAGGATGAGATTATGTTTGGCAGATTTTCTGACATATCTAATTATTAAACTATGTTTCTATTCAATGTTGTTCTTCAATAAATTACAAGTTTATCTCCTTTGGTTTTTAAAGCCTTTGAGAATTCTTATGAAAAGTGTCCTTTTAATGTTATCTTTGCAGTTTAAGCCAAGAACCACCAAGGTTCATAACATAATTGATTGCTGAATTGATGCAGTAAGCAACTCAGCACATTGTTGGTTATCTTGGGGGCAAGCCAAATATGATTTCATACCATAAATTCAAAAAATGTCTCAACGATGGCCCCAGAATGTTGAACTTCTATGACTGAGTTAGATAGGATGTACCCAGAAGATGTCAGTGGAAGG